GATAAATGGATAAATAATATGGTAGTGTTGAAAATCAATGAATGTGTCATTATTCTTATAGCAAAGTAACGACAGCGAAAGTAATGTATCGATTGAATATCATCAAGTTGATCGCCGCCAAGGCCCCTTGATTTCGGAGCTACCAGAAAGTGGGGCATCTTGACTATTTTAATTTGGTCATAATTCAGACTATGTTTCTTCTCTCTTTCTCAATTCTCGTAGATGGCCCACTCTCCTAACGCATTTCCCTCGACCATGGAAATAGAATTTAACAACACTGTTCCACAGATTCATGCATCTAGAAATTAACTCCAAGTCACTGTCTTTTCTTTTCCATGCACTCGTTTTGCTCACTTAGTCGGCAAAGCAAATTATTTTTATACTTTAAAATTTGTTTGATTTCAGTTCTAAACACTGAAAATAAGTCACTAAAGTAATATTTTTATTAAAAATTACTATTTTAAAATATAATGAATATTTTTAATAAAAATTATTATTTTAAAAACTTAATATCGTATTTATTTCTTCTATTTTTAATTAATTTTTTGTTTCTTATCGATATATATATGTTAAAAAAGATAACATAAATTATTATTTCTTTAATATTCAATATTTTTTATATATCATTAATTATTTTTACATTTATCATAAAATTAAGTACTCTTTTTTTTATTAATCATGAGAGTTGTGTTTAACCATTTAAAAATAATAATTAACATTTATAATATTATAAATATAAAAGTGTATAAATATTATTTTAATAAAAGTTTGACATATATTAATCAGTGCATTTTTGTTTAAAAATATCATTAATGCACCTCGTTCAATAATTGTCAATATTTTTTATTCTTAATTTATTAACCAGTGCATTAACAAGACCATAAAAAATATAATTTTTATATACTTTAAATCAGTCCCTTAAGCAAAGGTTCATAAAATCTTTGTTTTTAATAATCATTGTAGAATAAAAATGTTGTTTCATATTTATTTATAGTTTTAAATATATATAACATCAATTATCACTATTTCAATTATATCATTATTTATGTAATTTACATATTTGTTAAATAATTAATTGATAAAATACTGAAAGCTTGGAATTTAAAAGGAGATTCAATATAAACCTTCAATTCACCATCCAATTATCAAGCATTTAAATAACCATACAAGTTTTGGATATTTCAACTAGTCAACAATAATGATTACAGATGCATGGAACTCTGAATTTAAAACAAAATATTTTTATGTATAGCTAAAAAATTGTTGATTAATGACATATACATATGAATTAAAACTTTTAATTGATAACAATGTAACTCTATTTATAAAATATTTTTAACATTATAAGAAAAGAAAGAAAGATCTTGAAGACTCGTGGATAACGCTCAAAATAATAGTGATGCATGCTTGTAAGAAGACAAAATGCAGAGGATGGAAGATTCTTTAAAATTTTCTAAAATTTAACTTAAAATAAATATTTGTTCATTTTTAATGTGGTGTTTTATGAAGAAATTCTTAAAGAACAATATATTTACATTGAAATGTACAAGAAAATTTTGGATTTTATTTAAACAATTTTTAAATGAAAGGAAAAAAAGTTTCCCAAAACAAATCCTTTATTGAGGAATTTTTCATAGATCAATATCTTCCCAGTTTAATTATTAACATGAAATGATCACTTTATATGAAAAAAGTATAAAATAATTAATAGGTCTAATATAAATAATGCTATATTTTACTATAATGATGTTTTTTTTTTTTTGCTGCCTAACATTATCTTGTTAGTCATTAACAATACTGTTGAAGTATCTGAATTTACTTTTCATTTAAGAACAGAAAATAAAATGTTAGGGCAACAATTAAGAGAAATTAACTAATAGAAGAACATACTATAAATTTTTTTTAAAAAAAATGTGAATTAACATATGAATTATATTTAATTTATGTATTATCATTTTAAATTATAATTAAAACAGTTAGAGTTATAAATTATAATTTTTTAATATCAAACAGATTGGGTAAATATTTTTCATAGAGTTATAAAATAATAAATTATCTTATGACGAAAATCACTAATATTTGTAATGATTGATTTAAAAGTTGTATATAATATAAAAATATTTATACTATTAATGTATTTAAATTAAATTTATTATTTCTTATTTATCAAATGTAATTTCAAAAAAATTTGCATATTATGCAGCATTAATAATAATCATATAATTGACAATTAAAACGAAATATTAATTAAAAATGATGTATTAAAATATAGTAAGAGTAATTTATTCTAAAAAGGTGTCGCATTTCCACGTGTTTCTGAGTATTTTAACACGTCAATGATGATTTTGATTAATAAATGAAAAGGCATATTAATCGAATGGTGCGATATCAAATTTCTTAACTTGTATGCCATTATCTTAAACGATAATAAAAGATAGAAAAAACTATATCCTTCTTTAATTTTATGAAGGTAAAACAAGAAAATGACGATAAAGTTCAAATTGAACTTTTCAGCTCTGGTGCCTGGACAGAAAATTTAATTTAATTTTTGAAATAATAATATTTAATATTCTACAAAAAAGTTACTACAATTTTTATTGAAATATTACATATTATAATTCGTCATAAAAAATATTATACAGTATTTTTTATTATGAACCTTTAATTATACCTAACAAAACCGATTATTATTCCAACCCAGTACTATCGCTACTATGCGAGAGTAGGTAGAAGCGTAGGACCAACTAAAGAACACCAATTTTGATAATCGCGAGGGATTAATAGTAAATGTTTTAGTGCAGAGCATTGCAACGCACGAGATCGCATCACGCAAATGTTGGAAATGAGGAGGGGGCAGGGGAGTTTGACTGATTGTACCATTGATGTCTCAGTTTAGAAACACATGATTTTTATTCACCGTCAAAATAATAATAAATGTAAGATTCCCTTCATAGGTGAATCTTTCAGATACCGACAGAAAACAAATAATTCATGCAATTAATTATGTATACTGTTTTAAATTAATAAAATAATTTTCCCTGTTTTTACGGAGAATTCGGCCAAGTTCTGGTGGCTTCTGCCTTTTTGGAAAAGCCACTGATGCCGAGGGGGCAAATTGGGGATTGCGCATCCATTTCTTGCATTTGGTAGCCAAGTTCAATTTTAGTAAGCTCACGTTTCGGAGTTGTAAACATTAATTATATATTTATTTTTCTATAATTCTTTACATTAAAATCGAGTTGAATAGAGTCATTAAAAAAATAAAAATCAAATATCTCTCTCTCTCTCGTGCATATAATATTTCCATTCAAAACTTTGCTAAACATTATATTTAAATTACAAAACATATCTTAACACAATTTTTTTATTGTTGAGATAAAATAAATATAAGTAGAATAACAGAATGAGATAAAAATAAGTTTTTCATCCTAATTTATATTTAGATGAGTGTATATAGATAATATTTAATAATAATAACAACAACAATGATAATATTATTGAAAATAATATCAAAGAAAATAATAATATTTATAAGAATAATAATAATAATAATTACAATATATAAAATGATAATACTAATAATGACAATAGTATTAACGGTCGTAAAAAAATTGCCTATTGTAAGGTAAGTACGAAGAAAAATGTTATCTTTATCCGTCCTATTTGTTTTTAACTTAATTTTACTTTTAAAATATTTTTTGAATTAATAGACAAGATAAAATAAGTTAATAAGATAATTTTATCCTTTCTTATCGACTCATAAAATAAGAAATTAAATTAAATTATAATATAATAATTTATTTTATCTTATAATTTTTATCCTAACTGTCAAGTACATTATTTATTTTTTATTTTAAAATTATTATCGTAACATGATCATATGCTGTCATAATTTTCAACAATTTCAATTTTACGACTTCAACAGATTAAAAATTTATATTTTTTTATTTAGAACTATACCAATGAACTATTTTTTAAGAGGTCTATTTAAAAAAAAAACAATTATGATTATGAAATAAAAAAGTTATAATTTTACAGTTTAGTATATTCTTGTGTATTTTTATCATAAAATAGACTATTTCTCAATAATAAAATAGAATATTTTTCAATAATGAACCTGTTTTTATACTATAAATGTAAATCCTTACTCTTAAAAAAGTGTTTTTTAGAGTTATTCTATTAGAATTTTAAATTTATTTTAATTTTTAATAATTTTTATGATATTTAAATATTATTAACTGCATCATTCTTTACTTTGATTATAATGTTAATTATTTATAATGTATATAAAATTTTAAAATTTGATATATTATATAAATAAAAATATTATTTAATTTTAATATTCTATTTTCGTAACTTTTATTTTATTTTACGTTTTGGTATAATAAAATAAAATATTACTGTAATATATATAAAAAAATTGTTAATCAACCCTTATATTATAAAATAGAATACTTTATTTAGGAAATGAGACATTTAGTAAAGCTACTGGTCTCTTTCTCTTACACTTACGCTTAGTCACATGAACTTTTTTAAAATTAAAATTGGCTGAGATATTTGAATTACATTCTATCTGTACAACTGAGTTAATTTTTTTCTTAATTTTTAAATTTAATTATAAATTTTCAAGATAAAAATAATTAATTTTTTATTAACTTATGTAAAACTTTATATTTTTTTAAATGCTTTAAATTATAGTTATAAAAAATTATTACCTTATTTTTATATTATAGAGTTAAATTCAAATTATTTTTTTAAAAAATTATTGTCAAAGATAATTTTATTATACACATATTTAATTATTTAAAAAACATAAATTTTTTAATTATTAAAATACATATTTATTTAAAAATAAAATAGCTGTGCACTACTACCTAGTTTATTCCAATATTTCACGTCACACCACTTCCCTAGCTAAATCCTATGTAACAAACAATGTGACACGACCGAGACCCAAAAACGTATCATAACTTGGAATCTCAACACCCACCCGAAAGAACCGGCGGCGAACCCAACCCGAACCGCGCTTGCGAAACAAAAATTTAATTTCAACACATAAACATTTGAAATCCGAAATTGCCTATAAAAGCAGCGTCGATGATAATGGTCGCTGCAGTCTCCACATAAGAGAAGAGAAGGGTAGAGAGAGAGAGAGCAAAATGGGAGGTTGGGCTATAGCGGTGCATGGTGGCGCTGGTGTTGACCCTAATCTCCCATTCGAGCGTCAGGAAGAAGCCAAGCAACTCCTCACGCGCTGTCTCAATCTTGGAATCTCTGCTCTTCGTTCTAATCTTCCCGCCATAGATGTCGTCGAACTCGTCGTACGTATATCTCGTACCCGCACGCGCACACACACACACACACGCTCTGTTTCCGACATGTCCTTTTTCCCTTTATTTCATAATGAGCACCCTCTAATGGGATAATAATAATTGTGTCGCCACTATCCATTGCATTTTAATTTGTGACACAAAAATATAAGGATTAAGGTTTGCAGAAAATGTTAAAACAGATTGATGTTACTGGGCGAGCCCATGCATGGCTGGTCCCGTATGAACGTATTTGTGAATCGGCGTTTCTTTCGTTTTAATATTTTTAAATTCCATGGATAGTAATAATTTAATTGTTCCCAGGCGCTGGGAGTTTATTTATTTATTCTTCGATTTGAAAAGTGTGTGTTGTGGCTTTGATAGGTGAGGCAATTGGAAACAGATCCACTGTTCAACTCGGGCCGTGGATCTGCCCTGACAGAAAAAGGAACGGTGGAGATGGAGGCTAGCATAATGGATGGACCCAAAAGACGATGCGGCGCCGTTTCGGGCATCACCACCGTCAAGAACCCCATTTCGCTGGCTCGGTTAGTTATGGACAAATCTCCTCATTCGTATCTCGCCTTCTCCGGCGCAGAAGAATTCGCCAGGCAACAGGTTCGTTATTCCCACGTGTTTCGAATTCTAATTTTACCTTTCTTCTCATTACCATATAAAAATTGCGTCAACCAAAACTTTTCTCACTTTGATTTTGTCTTCATTCTCGTTCGCCAATGAGGGTAGCGCTTAATGCATTTTATTAAAGGTTAATAATTTTCAAAAATAAATATTAAATATTTCTTAACATATTTTTAGTACCATTTTTTAAGGACAAAGCCTAATGCTTTTAATGTTGTTATCTATAAAAGCTGGAGTTTTTTTTGGGCATGTATAAAAGCTAGAGTTTTATTTCCTTAGCAAGCAGCACTACTATTAAATAGCATATATTAAAACATAACTAAAATTTTCACGGAACTACTATTAAATGGCATATATTAAAACATAACTAAAAAAAATCAATGAAGAGAATTTTTTTTTCCCTTAAAAAATTACACTACTCTGTATTAAAAAGATACAGAAATACGTACGTTCATATTTTTTTAACAAATTTTTCTTTTAATTTTTAAGCCAGTGTTTCAATAGTGTTAATCCACATCTGCATTAGTAAGTTTTAGTTTCTAGTAATTTTTTAATCAGTTTTCTTTTTTATCGTAGTTGTTTTCATGCTCGATTACCGGATATTTTTCTTTTTGTTTCTATTTCTCGCTGAATACGGTTAAATAATTAATTAACAGTTGACATTCAAAGCGTGATTTCTCCATAGAAAAATATCTAACATTTTTTTACTATTATTTTGCTCCTGCCATTTGTTAGCGCCTAATAAAATGAGAAAATCTGATCCAAGCACATTCACATGACACGACTCTTTTAAATTATATTTTATCTGAGAGGTAGCTTAGTTGTATTACCTATAATCGTGAACGTGTGCAAATCTATCAACTCAATAAAATTTTACTGGGAATTAAATAATAGCGATTAGACTTTTGTAGGGTGTGGAGGTTGAGGACAACGAGTACTTCATCACACCTGACAATGTTGGCATGCTGAAGCTGGCAAAGGAAGCCAATGCAATCCTGGTACGTAATTACTAATTAACGGTGCATCTTGTTTTGTTTAAGTCAACAATTACGCTGGTTAATTATGACTAACCAAGTGTTCTAACATTGTGCCACGTGTGATGATGCAGTTTGATTATAGAATCCCAACAACGGGGTACGAGACATGTGGATCAGGTGTAGAGAGTCCACTGCAAATGAATGGACTTCCAATTAGCGTGTACGCGCCAGAGACGGTTGGGTGCGTAGTGGTGGACCGTGAGGGAAGGTGTGCGGCTGCGACATCCACTGGGGGCCTCATGAACAAAATGATTGGTCGCATCGGTGACTCGCCACTCATAGGCGCTGGGACCTACGCGTGTGACGTTTGTGGGGTTTCTTGCACTGGGGAGGGCGAGGCTATCATACGTGGCACTCTGGCGCGTGAGGTGGGTGCAGTGATGGAATACAAAGGATTGGGCCTTCAAGAAGCAGTGGATTTTGTCATAAAGAACCGTCTCGATGAAGGGAAAGCTGGGCTCATAGCTGTGTCCAGCACTGGTGAAGTGGCTTATGGGTTCAATTGCAATGGCATGTTCAGGGGCTGCGCCACCGAAGATGGGTTCATGGAGGTTGGAATCTGGGAGTAATCGCTAACTTGTGTCTTTTGGGTTGGTTCATTGGTTGTTTCTTTGCAACTCTTGTATGTTATATGCAATATGCAAATTAGAACGAGGGTCATGATGATCGTAATTAGTTAATTAGTTTGTTTCCAAGGGTTAGAAATGTGAAATAATAGTGGTAACTGTTTGTCCTTTTTGGAAATAAAAGACTCGTGATAGACCCTCAACACACCCGTGTAGCTTTTTGCTTCCCTAGCAAAACTATGACTTTCTTTTCTTTTTTATTTATTTGTGTTTTTTAATGAGAGGTTCTAATGGCTTATGTCCAACCTTACCATTGAATGTCGTCCTAGCTTTTGCATAAAATTTCCATTTAGATTACTGGAAACTGCCCCCACCAGGTGCACTCTCTCTGAATGTTGCCTTCTAATGGTTACTACTTACCCACTAATTCTCTCCACTTGTCCACATTATCTTACGAAGAAAGGATACACCCACTAGTAGTGCCACTGATTTTTAACAATTTTTGTGTTAAATTTTCAGTAAAAATTCAAGCACATATAAAATAGGTGAAGTGATAAGAAAGACAAAAAAATAAAATGATATGATAAAAAATAATTAAATTCAATATAAAAAGTAATATATAAAAAGTAAGTGTTAAAATATTATACTCAAATTTATTTAGTTAATTAAAAACTACAACCATAAATGCAAAATTCTTATTAGTTTCATTATTTAAATTTTAAAAAATTGATTTTATCGATAAAATTATGTATAGTTGTTTTTATTTATTTAATTATATACATGTAATTTTAAATATCTAAAATTAAATAAATGCCATTTATCGTCTGTTTTTATGTAAAGTAACATTTCCAAAAACAATGAAAAGTAGGGGTTGGTGTGATACTGATGAAGTGACGATGAATGAACGTGTGACCGAGTCGTACGTCAGAGAAAGAACATGGCGGGTATAAAGAAAAATGCTTGAGTACAATATAAAAATAATTGGACCGCATTATCGAGTTTAAGAGCCCGTGTCACAAATTGAGGAATCTTAGGGGCAAAAAATTTTAACACATTTTTTAACATATTTTAAATTATTAACTAAAATTTGTTAAAAATTTAAAAATTATAAAGACAGTTAATTTATAATTTTAAAAAAATTAGTTGAAGGAGTAAAACAATTTATATCTAAAATTAAATTTAGATTTAAATTCAATTCAAAATTTAAATTTAAATTAAAAAAAATAGTTGAAGGAGTAAAACAATTCATATCTGAATTTAAATTTATATTTCAATGTTTTACATTGTAAATGATCACTCAGAACACGAAGGAAAGCTAAGAATTGTAGGGTCTCCAATGGAAGAATGGCAACTGAACTGATTTTTATTGAAAGAATGATATTACAAGAAATGATTTACAAAACTGAATGAATGGATCCTAGCTGAACCTATTATTTATAACAGGTTAGTTACAACAGAATTTCAACGGCTCCTATCTTATTCTTTACAGGGTCCTACATCAATCCTTCCCTCTTAAACAAATCCTTGACCTCAAGGATTGAATTGAGGATACTTCTTCTTTAAATCAAAAAGGAATTCCTATGTCGCATCTTCGGGCAGTGAATGTTTCCATTTGACCAACACCTTAGTCACCCCTTGGTTCCCTCTCTTCACTGTCATCCTGTCTAATATTGCTTCAGGTTCTTTAATCACAGTTTCTTCATCGGTAGCTGGACACTGAACTGAAGTATTAGCATCACCCACAAACTTCCTTAACTGGGAGACATGGAAAACATTGTGGATTGAAGTTCCTGCTGGTAATTGGATCCTGTAGGCCACAGCTCCTATCTTATCTAGGATAGAGTAGGGTCCATAGTATTTAGGATATAATTTGGTGTTACTCCTATAAGCAACTGAAATCTGTCTGTAGGGATGTAGTTTAATAAAAACCAAATCCCCAATTTTAAAGGACCTATCAGACCTCTTTTTGTCAGCTAGCTGTTTCATTTGCTCTTGTGCCCTCTTCATGTGAAACTTTACCAACTTCAACTGTTCTTCCCTCTTCTGCAAGCTCCTATCAACCAATTCAATCTTTGATTCCCCTGGTAAGTAAGGGAGATAGGCTGGAGGCAATTGTCCATACACAATTTCATAAGGACTGGCTTTAATGGTACTGTGGTAAGTTGAATTATACCACCATTCAGCCAATGGTAGCCATTTTGACCATTGCTTCGGATCATCTGCACACATACACCTCAGATAAGTTTCTATACACCTATTTACCACCTCTGACTGTCCATCAGTTTGTGGGTTGTATGCTGTAGACAACTGAACCTGAATCCCTTGATATGACATGAAATCTCTCCAGAATTGGCTAGTAAAAACAGGATCTCTGTCACTTGTGATGGAAGCTGGCCACCCATGAAGCTTAAAGACATTGTCAATGAAGCATTGAGCTACATTAGCTGCTGTGTAAGGATGCTGCAGTGCCATAAAATGAGCAGCCTTGCTCAATCTGTCTACAACTACAAAAATCACCTGCTTCCCATAAGAATTAGGGAGTCCCTCTATAAAATCCATGGTAATGTGCTGCCAAATCAAATCAGGTACAGGGAGAGGCTGAAGTAACCCAGGAGAAGCAGCTTTATCATACTTACATTGCTGACAAGTGACACACTGATGGATAAACCTCCTAACATCTTTAGACAAACCCTTCCAATAGACTACTGCCTTGATTCTTTGGTAAGTGGCATCCCTCCCTGAATGACCACCACAAGAAGATGAATGCATCCATTCTAGTATCTGCCTTCTCAATTCAGCATTCTTGCCAATAACCAGTCTGCCCTTCCTTCTTAATTGCCCTCTTGACCAAGAAAATTGCTTGTGAGTAGCAGGATCCTTTTGTATCTCAGCAATTAATTTCTGTAAATCCACATCCTCCTGCCATGAGATCTTGATTTTCTCCAAGAGACCAGAATCAGGTTCCATGGTAGTGATAGCAGCACATTCTACTCTGGAGAGTGCATCTGCAGTTATATTATCACTGCCCTGCCTGTACTCAATGATAAAATTAAATTCCATTAACTTTATCAACCATTTCTGCTGGAAGGCTGTTGATAATTTATGGTCCAATATGTACTTAAGGCTTCTATGATCAGTTTTGATCACAAACTGCTTAGGAAGCAGATAATGCCTCCACTTTTGAACTGCAAATACTACTGCCAATAGTTCCTTTTCATAAGTGGACAAGCTTTGTTGCTGTTTGTTCAAACTCCTACTCACAAATGCTATTGGATGGTGATCTTGCATGAGCACAGCTCCCACCCCTATACCTGAAGCATCAGCCTCCACGACAAAGGTCTTCTCAAAATCTGGTAATGCCAATATTGGAGCTTGACTCAGCTGGTCTTTGAGACACTGGAATGCAACCTTAGCTTCTTCACTCCAACAGAAACTATCTTTCTTTAACATATATGTAAGTGGCTTGGCTACGGTGCTATACCTCTTCACAAACCTTCTATAATATCCCGCTAAGCCCAAAAATCCTCTCAACTGCTTAATGGACTGAGGCAGTGGCCAATTTCTGACTGCTGCTACCTTAGCTGGATCAGTGGAGACTCCTTCTCCAGTAATGAAATGTCCCAAATATTCCACCCTTGTAACTCCAAAGTAACATTTTGACCTCTTGGCAAACAAGGCATTCGCTCTCATGGTCTCCAAAACAGTGTGTAAGTGAACCAAGTGAGCCTCTAAATTTTTGCTATAAATTAGTATGTCATCAAAAAAGACCAATAGAAACTTCCTTAAGTAGTTTTTGAAGACAACATTCATTAAGCACTGAAAAGTTGCAGGGGCATTAGTTAAACCGAAGGGCATGACTAAGTACTCATAGTGCCCTGAATGTGTCCTAAAAGCAGTTTTAAAGACATCCTCATTTGCCATTCTCACTTGGTTGTAACCAGCCCTTAAGTCAATCTTGGAAAAGATTGTTGACCCATGAAGCTCATCCAACAAATCATCTATAAGGGGTATGGGAAATCTGTTCTTGACAGTAGCTTTATTCAAATCCCTATAGTTAACACACAACCTCCAACTACCATCCTTTTTTCCTACTAGAACCACAGGACTTGAGTAAGGACTGCTACTGTTCTGAATCATCCCAGACCTAATATATTCCTTAATCAATGCTTCTATGATGTCCTTCTGCTGTTTGGCATACCTATAAGGTCTTTCATTGATAGGATTTGTACCTTGAGCCAAAGGAATTCTGTGATCATGTTCTGCTCTTCTAGGTGGTAAGCTTGTAGGCTCTTCAAACAGATCAGAAAAATGCTGCAGGAGCTCCTCAATACTGGCAGGGACTTCATGTGACTCAAAATGAGTGGATAGGGAATGCAGTAGCATATCCTCCTGGGTGTTGTACAATTGCAGCATGGATAAGTGAACTCCAGAAGACAAGGTCTTATGGAACTACTGCTTCCTAATTGTCTTAAGACCATAAGAAGTAGAGCCCCTCAACACATGTCTTTTTCCTAGGACTCCAAATTCCATAGTCAGCTTATCAAAGTTCCACACAATATCTCCTAAACTAACTAACCATTCCACACCTAAGACCATGTCACAGCAGCTGAGTGGTAGAAGCATCATGTCACAACAAAAGGAACTGTTCTGCAGGTACCATCTAAAGTTTCTGACTACCGAAGCAACTTGAACTTTGGTTCCATCAGCTACTGTCACACTCACAGCCTCCATACCTTCAATCTTGCATCCCAATTTCCTAACAACATGCACATCCAGGAAATTATGTGTACTACCGCTATCAACCAAGATATGCAAGGGTTTCTTCCTATACTGTCCTGTCACCCTCATAGTTCAAAAATTGGACAGGCCAGTTAATGCATTAACAGAAATCAGTGGATCTATTTGCTCTTCTATACTATCATCAACAGTATCCAGTGAATCTACATCAGGTAAGCCTTCATCCTCTACTTCCATCACATGTATCTGCAATGTCTTATGTGTCAAGCCATGAGCTGGGGTGAAGGGTTCATCACAGAAGTAACACAGCCCTTTACTTCTTCTGTCAGCCATAAATGCAGGTGTCAAGTTTCTGGTGGTGTGTGTTTTTGGCTTAGCATGTTCTGCTGGTTTTAAGGGTGTAGGTAATAATGGTGGTTTTTGGGTAAGTGTTGGCTTAAATGGTTTGGAAAATGATTTCTGTTGAGAAGGGGCTGAGTGAGCATTTTCATACATTTTAGCCAAAGAAAAGGCTTTCATAACAGATGTGGGTTGAAACATCCTCACCATCATTTGGATATCCTGTTTTAAGCCCCCTAAAAAACAACTGAGTTGATTAGGTTCCGATAATTTCACCCTAGA